GTATAACTTAACTATATTCTATATTCTATTTAGAATATGATATATTGGTATAACTTAACTATAATATTGCAAATATATAAGTGTAATATTTCAATGATATAAATGTGTAATATTTTAATGATATAAGTATGTAATACTGCAGTAATATTTCTGTAATATTTAAATCTGTTAAAACATATAACAACTGTGACTGCAATACGGCAAAAACTGTACACTCGGTGGCAGGTATGGTGTCCCTCGGCGGGCCCGTATACGCCTATCAAATAGTCGAAAGCGACAACAGGCATATACGGAGGGCGTACTGTACGTCTTACGTACAACGCGAGAGAAGCGAAGAAGATACGTAGGGGAAGTGGTGGGAGACATTTCGTTGTTGCATCCTTTTCGCACGTCATTCGATCGAGAGAGAAAACATCAGCAGACGTTACAGTTGTTAGTGGTGTTCTCAATAGCTGTCTCACTCACTCAACGCTTGAATGAAAATATGAGCGAGACAGCAATAGGGACACCGCGCTGTCTCTATAGGTGTCTTGCTCGTTCTAATATCCATATATCACGCTTTCCTCTTTTCTCCTTAACAAAAATGCACGTTGTGCCGATGCATGACACCGAATGACAAAATTTAACTTTTTTGTTGTACGAATGTGAGTAGTCATTTCTGATGTATTTTTGCCCGCTAAGTACAAATCCTTAGTCCAAATTTGGTTACCGCGTTACATTTTTGAAAAAAATACATCGGAAATGATAGACATATTTCGTCATTATAAGGTCATTAAGATGCATCCGCATGTAATATTGAGATATTAAGATTTTTACAAAGAATGAATTTTGCCGGCATATGAAAAAAATCATCTGATGTTATAAACATTTCAGTAATATTGTCGCATATTCTGATGTCAATGGTAATGGATAAAAACATTTCACAATTTGACATTCTACAGAATGGAATAAATTTTTTTCTTCGTAAATTTCATGATAACCATCAGTATAGATATATCAGTATGTAATCATAAAGTATAGACTTTTCTTTGCAATTTTAAAAAGAAGCAGATTTTTTTCGTAGAGTTTCGATATATCTAAGAGCGCGATCCATTGCACCCTGCAAACGCTTCGAAGTCTAAGCACTCAAAGTTACCCATGCATTTCTTTTAAATCACTTAAGACCGAGAATACAATAGGTGTAGTAAGCTTTAAGTATTAAGAAATTAAACAATCTTAGTCGACTTTTACAAGAATAATCGAATGAGGTTTGCCAATTTCTTATGACTTAAAGCTTGCTACACTTATTGTGTTTCCGTGCTAATTTGACGTACTGTACTAGATGAAATGAATTCTTTTCATAAATCTTATGATAAAAATTGTAAAATATCGTTTTCTTACAAATTAAAAAAAAATAAGAAAGAACTAATAATGTTATAAGGCTCTTGTAAAAATCAATTTAATTCTAAATATAAACAGTAGGCCGATAACTCTTATAAAAATATCATACTAAGAATCATTGATAATTACTTATTTTCAGTATTAAAAATACTGGATAATAAGTAATTATCAATAATTCTTAGTATGATATTTCTATAAGGGAATATAAACATATATTTATAATATAAACATGTAAGAGCCGATTTTTCGCTGGTTCGTATTATGTAGGTTTAATGTACGATACGTCAGGTCGGGTACTTCTGGGACTACCCTCGTAAAGAAACAATTAATACAAGTTTCCAATTAAAGCAAGTTTTTTTTAAGAGACTTTTTCTTGCTTCTTAAAGTAATAGATATGGAGGCGGTCCAATAATAAAGGGGTCTACAGCTTCTTGATTTTATTGACTTCTTACTTTGCTTTACGCGAAATTTGCAACATTTATGTTGTATTCTGTTCTGTACTCCTTTTCTACGCTGAAGAAGGCCCGAACCGAGGACCTAAACGTACGTGATATTTATAGAAGACTTGTATTAATTGTTTTTTTACATTAAACCTACATTTTCTAATACATAACACGAACCAGCGAAAAATCGGCTCTTACATGCCTACTGTTTATATTTAGAATTAAATTGATTTTTACAAGAGCCTTATAACATTATTAGTTCTTTCTTATTTGTTTTAATTTGTAAGAAAACAATGATATTTTATAAATTTTATCATAAGATTTATGAAAAGAATTTATTCCATCTAGTACAGTACGTCAAATTTTGTCGTTCGGTGTCATTCATCAGCACAACGTGCATTTCTGCTAAGGAGAAAAGAGGAAAGCGTGATACATGGATACTAGAGCGAGCAAAACATCTATTGAGACGGCGCTGTGTCCCTATTGCTGTCTCGCTCATATTCTCTGCATTCAAGCGTTGAGTGAGTGAGACAGCTATTGAGAACACCACAAACAACTGTAACGTCTGCTGATGTTTTCTCTCTC